AACCAGCAGCAGACCTACAGGCTGGGGAACTCCCTTCTCGTCAGTGCAGAGGCAGAAAAGGATCTTGGAGTCATTATTGATGCCAAAATGAACACAGGCTGACAGTGTGAGGACACGGTCAGGAAGGCCAACCGCACCTTGTCGTGTATCCACAGATGCATCTTGAGCAGGGCCAAGGAGGTGATCCTCCCCCTCTATGCGACACAGGTCAGGCCACAGCTGGAGTACTGTGTCCAGTTCTGGGCGCCGCACTTCAGGAGGGATGTGAACAGCATGGAGAGGGTCCAAAGGAGGGCCACCCGCTTGATCAGGGAGCAGCAGGGCAGGCCCTACGAGGAGAGGCGACGGGACCTGAACCTGTTCAGCCTCCACAAGAGAAGGCTAAGGGGGGATCTAGTGGCCATTTACAAACTAGTCAGGGGAGACCAGCAGGCATTGGGGGAGTCCCTGTTCTCCTGAGCACTACCAGGAGTGACTACAAATAATGGCCACAAGCTGGCAGAGGGCAGATTCAGTCTAGACATCAGGAGGCGCTACTGCACAGTCAGGGTGGCTAGGATCTGGAACCAACTTCCAAGAGAAGTGGTGCTGGCTTCTGCCCTGGGGGTCTTTAAAAGGAGGCTGAATGAACACCTGGCCGGGGTCGTTTGACCCCAGCGCTGTTTCCTGCCAGGGCAGGGGGTCGGACTTGATGATCTGCTCAGGTCCCTTCCGACCCGACCTACTATGAAACTATGACCCGGGATTTCCGACTGCTTTAAAGTCCATTTAGCGCTTTAAACTAATACTACTCAGAGATGTGTTAATGTGTGGCGCTTTCATGTTATGCCACTCCAAGTGTGGATTTTGTTTAAACTATGAAACTATGACCCGGGATTTCCGACTGCTTTAAAGTCCATTTAGCGCTTTAAACTAATACTACTCAGAGATGTGTTAATGTGTGGCGCTTTCATGTTATGCCACTCCAAGTGTGGATTTTGTTTATGCAAACAGCCATGGTGCCAAAGGGACAGTAGGCTAAGGCTACCATACATCTGGGTTTTCCCCAGACATCTCCTCTTTTTTGGCCCCCTGTCCTTCTGTCCAGGTGGATTTTTAAAATGCAAGCCAATGTCTGGGTTTTTGCATTGTCTCCACTTTTCCTGGGCATGAGGAGCTTGGAGACTTGGGTCTAGGAGCAGCAGGCAAGGTGATTGGGTGCCAGGGGCTATGTGCTCTGCACATGAGCCCCGGCAAGTCTGTGTGTGTGGCAGCTGCATGGGCAGCAGGGCTGGGGGAAGGGAGCTGGGGGCTGGGAGTGAGGTGCAACTGCAGGACTAAGGGGGTCGGGGCTGGGGGTTGGCGACTGTTTCAGGCTCAACATTAGGAAAAACTTCACAGTCAGGGTGTCCAGACTGTGGAATAAGCTCCCTCCAGGGGTGGTGCAATTGGCTACCCTGGAAATCTTCAAGAGGAGACTGGACAGTCACCTTGTTGGGGTCACTTGACCCCTCTTTTCTTTCCTGCTTGATGCAGGGGGCTGGACCTAATGATCTCCCAAGGTCCCTTCCGGCCTTACAATCTATGAATTGATGAATCTATGATCCAGCTAGCAGAGAAGCCTCCTGTGGGTCCTAATGTTGGAGCACCACTGGCCTTTATCACCTACTGTAACAGCTGCTCAGCTTAAAGGAAAGCAGGGGCATGGAACAGGAGGCAGGAGGTGGGTGGGTGGGGCTGTGAGCTGCAGGGTTAGGAGTGGGGAGAGGAGACTTGAAGCAGATCCAGAAAGTTGGTCTTCAACACCAACATTGGAACCCAGCCTTTGTTCCTGTTGTCCAGGGCTGGCAGAAGGCTTCCATTTCCACTACGTAAACATGTATCAGTAAAAAAGTATGGGTATCAGTAAGAAACGAAACGAAACGAAACGAAACCCAGCAGATTCAAATAATTTAAAAAAAAAAGTTCTTGGATTGGCAGAACCCGGCTCATGGCCTTTCCCATCACTGACAACGTTCTTATTGTCTTGGTAGTCCATCCATCCCCTTTATCACTGACTACAATGGACATCCCATTTCTTGACCCTAGGAGGAAAAATTGCCCATGAGATATTCTGGGGGCTCACCCCCACGTGACTGGAAGACAGAACAACTGGGCCTACAGCACCTGGGAAAATGCACTCTTTGGCACACGTGATGTACAAAGAAAGTGAGAGAAATCTTCCAGGTTGCACTTGTGGTCCCTCTGGAGATGTAGGGTGGGCCTTTGACAGCCCCTGATCTCAGAAAATTGAGTCTACCCATGGAGGGAAAGCAAGCCAGCTTTATTAATATGCACAAGCGATGATGGCAGCTAGTGAATGATGAACACGATCTACATCTCGATATGCTTGTACTATTCAAACGGAGAAGAGCCTCCTTACAGAGCACTTGTACACAGCAAGGTCGCATCTCTCTGCATTAAAAGCAAAGCATTCCTAACGGGACCAGCCGGGCAGAGAGGTGCACGAGGGAACCAAGGGGCATGAGGTACCCAACCTTTGTGACAGCTGTAGATGGGAACCTGCACAAAGGATTTCATAGGACCCCGGAATCCCATTTGATTCTCTTCCTGCAACGGGACTGGAGACGGGCAGAAAAGCAATGTCCGTGTGTTATCACGAGGCACTGGGTGGTTGTTATGTCCCAGGAGAGTCCTGCTGGGACAGTCTCACTCTGCTGCTCATGTAAGTGCTTTTCCAGAGGCTCTGCAGGGCCTGCTCTTTCGTGAGTCTACACCAGTCCTCCGGGAGACGGGCCGGGAGACACTTGTACACCCGAGCAAACTGCTCGTTGAACTCCTTGAAAACGAACTTCCAGTAATCGGAAGCGTGGATGCTGGGATCTGGTTGGATGCACCAGGCCGGGTAGTATTGCTGGTACTCTTTGTACGGATGCAGTTGCCCGGCCGTGTCGGCATTTTGGAACCAATTGTTGGAGACAACAGAGGAGGAGCACACGTCAAACACGAGGACATTGGTCTCTTCACACCTGTAACTGTCCAATCCTTGAGGCCGATGGACGGATGCAAAGTGCTCTCCATGCTCTCTGCCCTCAGCCTCGCAGGGCACTTTGCAGAAGGGGCACTGCTCCCCGCAGCCGAACACACGCTTGAACATCTCATCCTGGGGCTTGACGGGAAGCCTGGAGAGCCTCGACTGTACCTCCACGTTCTTCCAGCTGGCCAAGACTTCTCTTTGCAGCAGAGGGACGAGATGTAGGAGGTGAGCCGAGAACTCGCCGGCGGTGGCAGTGGTTTGAAAGAGGATCACTTCCAAGCTGTCTCTAGGGATGACGAGATCCTGCCGCAGCTCTTCACAGAAGCGGTCGAGGAAGGTGGAGACCGGCTGAGTCTTCTCAGCCTCAGAGCATTCAAGGACCTTGTAAACCTTCTTGGTTATGGTGGACAAGACCTTCTCCTCCAAGCCTCCCAGCCTCGCCTTCTCTGTGTAGTGAGTCACCAGTTGCCGCTGGATCCGGGATTTGACAAACTCCACGTAGCTTTGGATGTACTGCACATAGCCGTTGAAATCCTCCCGTTCCAGCAGCTCCTTCAGGACGGCATACTGGAAGTGAATCCTGCTCTTGAACATGCTAGACCCTCCCCTGGTCACCAAGTCATCCATGATTTCAACCCCAAGCCTCTTGCTCACATAGTCCTCCAGAGCCGGCTTCAGGCACCACTGGCAGAAATCCCAGGCCCAGTCTTGGCATTCATGTCTCCCCCAGTAACGAGCTTTGAACATGGAGAGATACTGAGGTTTCAGCTTCTCCAAGTGCTGAAGAGTGCCGTTTTCCCGAATAAAGTCTTCGTGCATCTTCTGGAACTCAGCAGCTGCCTCCCCCAAAATGTGCCGCTTGAGCTCGACTTCAAAGAGGGCGCTGGTCCTTCTCTGCTGGGAGGGACATTTCCGGAGGGGTTTGTTAACCATCCGCAGCAGCTCTCTGCAGTAGACTTCGTGGTACCCTGCTTTGGAGGCAGCCTTCTCCGCGGTGTAACGCTTGCAGTCTTCAATGAGGGATTGAGCAAGGGCTTCTGTGCGTTCCCAGCACGCCTGCGTGCACCGCTCGATGATGCCCCTGACGGCGGAGAGGTCCAGGTACTCCTTCCTCATTTGGAAAGGTAGCGCTGGGCGATCAGACAAGAGCCGGGCCTCTCCCAAGAGCTCCCGTGCGGTGCCCTCAAGGTGCTCAAGGTCCTTTCTCAGCTGGGTCTCCATTTCTTCCCGGATCTGACGTTTCTCCAGGTTATATTTCTCTAGAGGATTCAGAGGCAGCTTGGATAGTGTTTCTCTCCACGCATGTTCGAATTCTGCATCCAGCGCGTCGCTGTTGAGGTGGTCTTCACTTGCCCGGCACTGCTCGAGAAGCCCGCTGACTTTCTTCCCGAGCTGTCTGTGACACTCTCCCAGGGCAACCTCCAGCCTGTGTCGGCCCTTGGCTACTTCAACGGCTTCTTGGCACTTGGCGAAGCAATCGTTCTCCAGCTCCTTCCCGAGGCCCAAGGCGCTCCTGAGAAAATCCTCCCGGTGTTTTTCCATCAGCTGAAGACTCGCTGCCTCGCGTTCAAAACAAAGCTCGATGCCCTCCACCAGCTTTCCCACCTCCTGCCTCACCCTCTCCTGCACCTCGCGCTGCAGCTGGATGGAGGCCCTTTTGTCCAGCATCCCCGTGGGCTGGTTCTGGATGCACGTCTCTGTCTCGGAGGCCCAGAAGAGCATCGCCTTGCGAAAGCCCCACTCCAGCTCGGTGTAGTCCATGGAGAGCTGGTTGTAGGCCTCCGCCAGCAACCTGTTCCTGAAGCTGAGGGTGATGTTCTCGTGTTTGGCCGCGCGCCACAGGCTCCTCATCCACTCCACGAACTGGGGGATGTCCTTGGCAGCTCTGTTTTCAGGCCTGGTTTTCTGCAGGGCCTCAAACAAAGACGCCCTCAGCTCCCCCACGCTCTTGCTGTACGCCGGGTTCACGGGAGCCATGGGGGGCGTGCCACGCCACAGCCCCGGGAGGCACCAGGTGTGGTTCTCTGCATCGTAGTGCATCACGTCGGAAAGCTTTGTGGCTTTCCCTTTCTCCATCCTGGATGCGGCTTGGGCCACGTCTTTCAGCTGCTCCAGGAGGGCCACGTTTTGGGGGCGGGACGACCCATCACTGAAGTCGTGCTGAACCAGCTGGCAGAAGGGCTTGACCCCAATCTTCCCCGTCCTGAGGGCTGCGTGGGCCACAACTTGGAGGACGTCCTTCGTCTCTGTGGTGTTCTCCATGGCCACGTTCACCATTACGATGTCACTCAAGCCAACGACCACGGTGGCCAGCTCGTTGTCATGTGGGATGGCCCACTGAGGGCCTTTCAAGCCTTTGGTGTCTATGAGCAGGAGGAAATCACAGCCCAGCTGCTCCTGGGAGGTGCCCGCTACCTTACAGAGTGACATGAAGGCCCCTCGTGTGCCTCGGCCAGTGCCCGTGGCAAACTGCAGCCCGAACATGGCGTTGAGTAGGGTGGACTTCCCCGTGCTCTGGGCTCCCATCACCGTCACTACCAGCAACCGGGACCTGCCCTCCACCCTGGCGTGGAGCTGAGTCAGCAGATCGGTCACCCACTGCACCGGGATGTTGGCGGCGTCTCCGTCGATCAGCTCCATGGGGAAGCCTTCCAGCATCAGCTCGGCCGCGATGCCCGGGAGGGGGCTGAACTTCCTTTGGTGCTCCTGGATGTTTCCCTCCTTCAGCATGGAGCACTCGGCCTCGTAGAGCTGCCCCAGCTCCCGCATGAAATGCTCCACGCCCAGGGAAGCGGCGGAGACCAATTCATCCGCCTCCTGGAGCCGACGTGGGTCTAATCTGTTGGGCTTCTCCTTGTCTTGGGGGCGCTGCCTGGAGAGATCCCCCCACATGACGTGATCCAGCTGGAGCACGAGCCATTTCAGGAAGTAGCGTTTCTCCACCGGGGTGAGCTGTCTCAAGGCCGCGATGAATTTAGTCACGCCAGGCGGGACCCCACACGTATGTTGCTGGCCCCGTAGATGCAGCCACCTGGCTGTCAGCTGAGATTGGTATTGCTCTGGGGCGGCGTCCCCTTGGCTTCTCATCTGGCACCGCTCCTTCTCCACTCTCGCCAGCTCTTTCCACAGGTCCCCTTGGAGTCTCAGCATGTCTCGCTTGTACTTTGCCACGTCTTTGATTTCCCTGGTGATGTCTCCGGCCCACGCCTTTCCTTTCTGACATGCCTCATGGTCCTCATCCACCTTCATCTCAAGGCCACGGGCCACGTCAGCCATGTCCGAGAGCCTCCCTTTCCTTTCAGCCCCCGTCATTGTGTCCCTCAGGCTTCTCCGTAGCTTCTCCACGAAATGCGCGTGGTGGGTATCTTGCCCCCTCACCAGCACTTGCGATTGACTGAGTTTCAGGGCAGGGGTTAGGTTCTTCAGCGAGTCCACCATTTCATTGGTCGCCCCATCCTGGTGGGCGAGGATGAAGTAGTAGGTGGTGGTGGATGCCTGCAGGGAGGAGAGAAGCTCGTAGTCTGATTGCTGCACACCATCAGTCAGGATGAAGACGGCTGACGAGACCTGTGTTAAGAAGGTGAATTCCTGCCAGTGTGACTTGATGTCCCCACGCAGGTTGGTCACGGCCAGGGGCTCTGGGAAGAGGTCAGAGCTCTTCTTGCCTGAAGGGAAGTACCACGAGATCTCCACCAGCCCGTTGGCCAATTTCCGGGGGACGTTGCCAGCCTCCATGTCCCGGTGGACAAAGAAGTTATGGGGCCGTTGGAGGGGGCTGAGGATTTCATTGAGGAGCCTGGACTTGGAGACACTACAGCGTCCCAGCCGCACGAAGGAGAAGGTGGGCATCAGGGTGAGCACCAGGCTCTCCTCTCTGGGCCCCCGGCTCTTGGCCTTGGTGTGTGGCATCCACGTTGTCACAATGCCCCTCATGGCCCACAGCAAGAGGGTGCATTTGGAGGCCTTGAGGGAGGGGAGAAGCAAGGGGAGGGCAAACTGGCACACAGCCATTCTGGCCAGGATTTCCTGCTGGAGGAAAGGATCGGAGCAGGAGAGGACAGCACAGATCAGGTCCAGGGGGTGGAGAGTCTCCCCGGTGTCCATCTCGCCCTTGTCATCTCCTCCCTCAGCCTTTTGCCCCAAACCCATATTTCTGGCGGTCCCGTCCAGGCCCAGCACCTTCCTCAGGAAATGCCACGGGAAATCTGCTAATGACCGGGGCGTCTGGTGTCTTGTGATGATCTCCAAGACGTGGCTCAGCTTGAGTTTATCATCCACGTACCTTATCAGGTGTAGCCTTGAGAGGACTTCGCAAGGGGCTTGCCTTCTCTCTGCAAGGAGACATGAAAAAGAGCCAACCTACCACATAGTGCTTGAAAATGTGTAACAGCTTCCTCACTGGTTTCATTTGAATGCGTGGCTGGGCCCTAATAGCCTGTGCCATCGTGTGTTGGTTGGTGGGACAAGGTGGTGTGTTTCCACTGTTAAAAAGGCAAATCCCACCATGATGGGCTTTTCTATGGAAGGGAGAGTGAAATGCTGAGGTGCTTGTGCATGTCACGGAGTTTAACCCTCATTAAATTAAATTGGTTTATAGCTATAATATGTTTAAAGGTTGAAATAGGTTTATTCTGTGGTGACATTTGTGCTGCACCACAGATACTTCCCTCTCAGCTGACATGGGCTAGAACCGTACCGTGTTTTCAGTGCAAGGGGGGATACAATGGAAATCATCATCCGAGACGCAAGAGGGGTGAAAGATTTTGAAGCAATACCTTTGCGAAAGGTCTCCTTCCAAGGACACTGACTCTTCCTTCCAAGGACTTCCTGCTTGGTCCTAGTAGAGTCTAGCCAAAAAAGGGGAGGCCAGAAAGCACGTTATCGATACATAAGAACTGCCATGGGCTAGGTCAGGCTGTGGGGCCATCTTGCCTGTGACTGGTACAAGTGTATATTTGTGCATATGTATATTAGTAGCTGGCACCAGATTGGCAGGTCTCCACCCTGGGACCACACAGGAGCCAGATCAATATTCCAGCGTGGCACAAGGACCCAGGCCACACATTATGCACATGACACAATTCATTAGGGGATCATGCAATAAATGTAGACAGCCGCACTTGCAGTGTAACTATCGGACCACAAAAATGGTCCAAGACAAAAAAGAGCCAAGTCAAAGGCCCAAAATAACACTACTGGATGTAACAACCTTCTACAAAGGGAGTGCTTGAAAATGGGTAACAACTTTGTGGCTGGTTGCTAAATTTGAATGCCCAGCGGGGCCCTGGGACCTGTATTTAGATTGTGCGCTGGCTCTGAAAACTTTTGAAGCCCTGTGAATGCTGACTGCAACCTACATGTAGCATGTGCTAAATGTAACGTGGGACAGGGACCTCTGTTGCCATTTGAATGTGCTGGGACATGTCTTGGTCGACACTCACACACATGCATCTCCGTCTCACACTTCAGACCACCCCCTTAGTACCTCTAAGGCTCCTCAATCTCTTCTGCTGACTACCACACAGCTGACGCAAAGCGTTGAATCTCTCTTCTTCTTTTTCCAGTGGTTGCATATCCATCCTGTCATCACACCTAAGAAGGCCAGGATGTCATTATTCCCTGCTAGCGTGCTACAAAAAAACTCAATCCCTCTGCTTCTCTCTGCCCAAACTGAGGTAGAGCACAGGCCAAGGCAGTGCTGGTTCCCTCCCAGCCCCTCTTACTAGCCTCGAAGGGAGAAACCAGCTTTTAGGGTTCATGTCTTTGGCCACATAGAGATGTTCAGGAAGCTGATGCAAAGTGTTGAATCTCTCTTCTTCTGTTTCCAGTGGTTGCTGACGCATCCCCTCATCACACCTAGGAAGGTCGGGAATTCATTATTCCCTGCTGGCGAGCTACAAAGCTCACAATCCCTCCATTTCTCTCTGCCCGAAATCAGGGCCAGCACAGGCCAAGGCAGTGCCAGGTTCCCTCCAAGGCCCTCTTACTATCCCTGAAGGGAGAGACCAGGTTTGAGGGTTCATGCCTTTGGCCACGTACAGACGTTTGGTGGCCACTATCCCAGAGGATAAAAACAAACAACAAACCCAAACCCTGGCGTTAAATGACTCCTGGAAGAGTGAATGTCTGGACATGTTCTCATCTGAGAGAAGCCACAGCACGCTCCTCCAGCTTCCCAGTGTCCTTTGCTCCCACCACCTTCACCCAGGGGTCACTCACTGGACTCTACCACTACAACTGACATATCCCCTTAATGATCCTCAGACATAGGCCGAACCCGAGCAGTCTGGCTCAGCCAGTCTGGGCTGCCCTGTGCACTGCTGCTATCTGTCTCCAGGCAGACTGGGGAGTCCGCAGACCACACTGATAACACATGTACATTGTTGGCCACCTTGTTCATTGTTGGCCAGGGTGGTCCTCTTGCTTTACCTTCAGGTGGAGGTGTGACATCTTATGATTGTGTCAGGGCTGATGGGAGTTTTGCTAAGAGGTTAGACAATGGGCTGCTGAGGGCTGGTTTGGATTGGGGTGATCCTTCCTCTGGCAGGAGGTTGGACTAGATGTGACCTCTGGATGTCCTTCCCAGCCTGAATTCTCTATGATCCTAACGTGGTAGGTGTGGCAACTATCACATACCTCCTCAATTCACTTCCACTGCCCTGGAATAGAAAGACAGAGAGAAGAAGGGCTCAGTCCCCAGGTCGTGAAGCAATGGGGTCTCTCTTGCTGTGGTCCCACACGAAGGACTAGCTAAATACTTGTTGGTAAGACTCATTGGGTTTGTTCATTCAGATCACAGGGAAGTTGAGCTGGAAGGGACCTCGTGAGGTTCCTTCTTGTCCAGCCCCCTGTTCAAGGGAAGATCATCCTTGACTAAATCCCAGGCAAGTGTCCATCCAACCTGCTCTTGGACACCTCCAGGGATGGGAATTCCCCACCCCTCTAGGCAGCCATTTCCTATGTTGGACAACCCTTCTCATCAGAAAGTTCTTTCTTGCCTCCAGCCTCAGTTTTCCCTGCTGCGACTTGAGGCCGTTGCTCTTAGTCTTGTCCTCTCTGGCCATAAAGAAGACTTTATTTCCATATGTCATCACCCTTCAGGAGCTGGAAGACTGTTATCCCAGTTCCCCTCCACCTCCTTTTCTCCAGACTAAACAGCCCTCGTCCGTCCAGCAGAGGTGTCTCCCAAGTCCCTAAGCATCCCTGCTCTGGATTCTTTCCAATCTGTCCCCCTCCTTCTTGAAGTGCGGGGTCCAGAACTGGAGCCAGGACCCCAGGTCTGGCCTATGCATCGTGTACAAGCGCCCCCTGAAGCTGCATAGAGCCAAAGAATCACTTCCCTTGATTCACGAGTGCCTCTATCGTGAATACGACCCAGGATGCTGTTGGCTTTGTTGGTAACAAGAGGACTCTGTTGGCTTATTATATCCTGCTTAGGGTTGACAGGTGTCCACAGTGGTGCAGGGTTAGATGACAGCATTGTATAAAAAAGGTTTTGGCTTTTCAGGGACTTGAGAACAGAGACGTAGGAGTGCTCTTGGAGGTCTACGTCCACTTGGGCATTTAACTGGTGCCCTTCAGCAAGACCAGTCACAGAGACACACTCCCCGACCCACAAAACTACCCAAAAGCCCGTTGGGTGAAAAGCCAATTCATAGAGGACAGCAGACTGTCTTGGACGTTCCTTTGCTCCATGAAGACTCAGCTTGCAATTAGTGGTGTAAATGCAGACGATTGGTGGAGTGGATCGTGATGAAAAAGACTTGCGTCTTAATCATTCCCATTTTGCAGTAAGAAACCCTCAAAACCAAACCAGAATCTGCCTGCCCCCACATCAAAATCATCCCCCTCCTTCCAGAAACCAGGCAATTTCCCAGTGTTAATCCATGTTGTTCCATTCTTCGTACTCGACAAGCCCATTAGGCATGAAATTTGCTCTCAATTTGTCAAAAGGACCTCTCGGAGGACCACCGTCTCCCCCTTCCCATTTCCCACAGAGTCTATTGGCAGAAATTATGCCATGCTTGGCAGATATGGGGTCTCTAACGACTCCCCCTCCCCAAGAAATGGGACCTACCTGTTCATCCTGGATTTCCTCTTCAGTAGCTCCCGCAGCTGTGAGACTCTCTGGGTTTTCAGGATCTCCTCCTGTTAAGTGGTAAAAACCGAGGCGGAGTGTGAGGAACTACAGGAGTGGTCACGATTGAACAAAGAGCAACTCAATGGCAGGTGAGATTCAATGTAGACAAGCATCAAATAATGCACCCGGGCATAACTAACCCACATTGTCCCTGTGCTAGGATGGGCGCTATCTTAGCTGTGAGGGCACAGGACTGAGATCTAGGAGTCGCTATGGACAGGTCACTTAAAACATCAGCTCCATGCTGAAGACCTGTCGAAAAGACTAACATAATGTTAGGGAAATTGAGGACACAATGGAAAGTGTCACCATGCAACATCCTAAGGCCAAAGGGTGTTCCCACCTTGAATCCTGTGCCCACCTCTGGGGCCTTGGATGTACCTTGAATTCTGTGACCAGGTTTGATCCCCACACCTCAAAAAGGATGTAGAGGACCTAGAAAAGGTCCAGAGAAGGGCCATAAGGATGATTCATGGTGTGAAGGGGCATTCACATGAGGGGAAAGGGGAAGTGGGATTTCCTCAAGCCCCACACAGCAACCAGCAAAGCTCAGAAGCCTGGGAAATCTCCACAGTAGTCCATGGGCATGGCTATGCCTAGATCACCCCTGTCCACTGGCTGGCCAAGTTCATTTTGAACCCCGCCAGTGATGGAGAGTCCACAATTCCCCTTGGTTTACACCTAGCTATGTCTAGATCCTCCCAGAGCAGTGGCTCTCCAAGCTCTTCTTAGACACCTTCAGTGATGGGGAGTCCACAACTCTTCTAGACATAGGCCAGCCTACACCTAGATCATCCCTGATGGGTGGCTATCCAGCCTCTTCTTGAACCCTTCCAAGTGATGGAGAGCTCCTCTAGATGTAGGCCTAGCTACCCCTACATCATCTTTGTTTGATGGCTATCCAGCCTCTTCTTGAACCCCTCCAGTGATGGAGAGTCCACAACTCCTCTAGATGTAGGCCTAGCTATGCCTAGATCATCCTTGACTGGTGGCTTTCCATGCTCTTCTTGAACCCGTCCCCTGACAATTCCCCTTGGTTTACACCTAGCTATGTCTAGATACTCCCAGAGCAGTGGCTCTCCAAGCTCTTCTTAGACACCTTCAGTGATGGGGAGTCCACAACTCTTCTAGACATAGGCCAGCCTACACCTAGATCATCCCTGATGGGTGGCTATCCAGCCTCTTCTTGAACCCTTCCAAGTGATGGAGAGCTCCTCTAGATGTAGGCCTAGCTACCCCTACATCATCTTTGTTTGATGGCTATCCAGCCTCTTCTTGAACCCCTCCAGTGATGGAGAGTCCACAACTCCTCTAGATGTAGGCCTAGCTATGCCTAGATCATCCTTGACTGGTGGCTTTCCATGCTCTTCTTGAACCCGTCCCCTGGACATCTCATTCCACGTCCTCACTGCTCTGACAGTAAATAAATGTTTCCTGAGATGCAAACTAAATCCACTTTGCTGGACCTTCAAGCCGCTGGTCCATGTCCTACTCTCTGCAGCAGACGCCTATCTCTGCCTCTTTGAATTGCCCTCCTCGGGCCAGGTAGCTACTAAATCTCTATCTCCATCCTCTCCATCGCCATCATCTCCATCTCTATCTGTGTGTGTGAGAGAGACTAAAAAAGCCAGGCATGTTCACACCTAAGAGGGAACATGACAAAGATTTACACACCACCAAGAGGGGAAGAGAAAGTCAATACCAGGGGAAGTGTCTGTCTTCTCCAGTGCTGGGTCTTCCCGAATCTCTGTTTTCTCTTCAGGATTGATGCCAGCCTCCTCCTCCTGTTCTGTGCCCTGCTGAGACTCTGACGCTTGTCCTTGCTCCAAGCCATCTCTCCCCTCCTGCCTTGGAGCTTGTGCAGTCACTGATACTGCGCTCTGATTTACATCATCTGGAAAGGAAGTTAAGAGACAATACTGTCATGCCCCAAGCCATTCGCCCTCGGCACTGAGTTGGGCCTGTTGGCCGAATCTGGCCTGCAGATGGACTGAGAACCACCCATCCAGCCCAAGGTGGGAAAAACATTGAGCACTGCTGATGTAGAGTATAACCCACCTTTTTCTCCAGTGAAAAAGAAACTAGAAGCTTCCTTAATAAGTGGGAGCCTAGAACTAGAGTTTTCTGTGCAAAGTTGAATCAAAGAAAAAAAAAACTTTATGGAGAAGTGCAGTCATTTGCTAAATCCTGTATTATATATGGTCAAAAAATATAATATATGGTCAGACAAAATATGATACACAGTCAAAAATATTATATATGGTCAGAGAAGATATTATATGTGGTCAGATAAAATATTTCATGTGGTGCAAAAATTATATCTGGTCAGATGAAATATGATTTATGGTCAGACAAGATATGATATATGGTCAAAAATATTACATGTGGTCAGACAAAATATGATTCTATGATTCTATGATATATGGTCAGACAAAATATTTTATATGGCCAAAAAATATATAAGGTCAGATGAAATATGATTTATGGTCAGACAAAAATATGATATATGGTCAAACAAAATATTATATATCATCAAAAAACATTACATAGGGCCAAAAAATTTCATGAAGCTTTATTGGTAGGTGCATTAACTATCTGTATAATGAATTATACAGAAAACCAGAACAAGCAAGGGAAAAAAAATCCAAAGATATTGTGTCAGGAGTCTTAGCTGTTAAGTGTACGCCTCCTTTTCAGATTCAGAGGACAGAATCAAGCCCATGACTGGGCAGTTAACATTAGGGGCTATAGGCTGTACAGGCGGGATAGAGAAGGCAGAAAAGGGGGGGGGTGGCACTCTATGTCAAGGAGCACTACACATCCTCTGCCAGCAGAATGGGGTCAGGGGAAGGGCAAGCTGAAGTGCTCTGGGTCAAGATCCAGTGGGGGCAAGGCGAGAGGGATTTGACGGTGGGGGTCTATTACAGACCCCCCAATCAAGAGGAGGAGCTGGACAGGGAATTTTCAGGCCAGCTTGCGGAGACACTAAAAGCAAGGGATGTAGTTGTCATGGGCGATTTTAATTACCCGGACATCTGCTGGGAGGAGCAGTCAGCCAGGACGGACCGCTCCAGGAGGTTCTTGGCCGAGTTGCAGGACCTCCACTTGATTCAGGAGGTGCACAGTCCCACCAGAGGAGATGCTCTGCTGGACCTGGTCCTGGCCGCAGGCGACGACCTGGTAAGAGGCCTCCAGGTTCTTGACCACCTGGGCAATAGTGATCATCGCGTGCTGGAATTCACCATCCAGCGTAGAGTGTCAAGGGCCCGCAGCAAGGTGGTGGCCCTAGACTTCAGGAGGGCCAACTTCAGTGAGATGAGGAGATTAGTGGGAGAGGAACTGGGGTCCTTGAGGGCAGAGGAACTCAGCGTCCAAGAGGAGTGGTCGTTCCTTAAGGAAACGATACTCGGGGCCCAAGGGGTGTCCATCCCGACAAGAAGCAAGGCGGGCAGGAGTGTCCAAAAGCCCCCCTGGCTCACCAAGGGTGTCCGGGAATGCCTGCTTGCCAAAAGGGTGGCGTACGCCCGGTGGAAGGGGGGTGTAATCTCCAAAGAGGAGTATACCTCCTCTGCTCGGGCCTGCAGGCGGGCTGTTAGGAAGGCCAAGGCGGAGATAGAGCTCGGATTAGCGTCCAGGATTAAGGATAACAAAAAGTCCTTTTTCAAATATATTGGGAGGATGAAGAAGGCGCCGGGTAATGTGGGGCCCCTGCAGGATATGCGGGGCAATCTGGTGGTTGCGTCAGAGGATAAAGCGGACCTCTTTAACCAATTCTTCACCTCCGTTTTCTTGTGCAGGGACCGGGACTTCCCTGCTGTGATAGAAGCCGGACGCGAGGGGATCGCCTTCAGACCTCAGGTTGGGGAGGACCGGGTTAGAGAGCTTCTGGAGGGGCTGGACGCGTTCAAGTCAGCGGGTCCGGATGCTCTCCACCCCAGGGTGCTGAGGGAGCTGGCTGGGGTTATTGCAGGGCCCCTGGCACGGCTCTACGAGCGATCGTGGTGCTTGGGCCAGGTGCCAGACGATTGGAAGGTAGCTAATGTGGTCCCCATCTTCAAAAAAGGGAAAAGGGAGGACCCGGGCAATTATAGGCCCGTCAGTCTTACCTCAATCCTGGGGAAGCTCTTTGAGAAGATCATCAAGGAGCACATTTGTGATGGGCCGGCATCAGAAATGATGCTCAGGGGCAATCAGCATGGATTTATTAGGGGGAGATCATGTCAGACCAACCTGATTGCCTTTTATGATCAGGTCACAAAGGCCATGGACGCAGGTGTCGCGGTGGATGTAGTCTTTCTGGACTTCAGCAAGGCCTTTGACACCGTCTCTCACCCCATCCTAATTAATAAACTAGGCGACTGTGGCATAGATGCCTACACAGTCAGATGGATTGCAGATTGGCTGAAGGGTCGCACTCAGAGGGTGGTGGTGGATGGATCATACTCGACTTGGGGGGAGGTGGGTAGTGGAGTCCCCCAGGGCTCGGTCCTGGGGCCTGCGCTGTTCAATTTCTTCATCAGCGATCTTGATGTTGGGGTGGAAAGCAACCTGTTTAAATTCGCTGATGACACCAAAATTTGGGGGGAGGTGAGCACGCTAGCAGGGAGAGAGAGATTGCAGAAGGATCTGGATAGGTTACAGGGGTGGGCAAACAGGAACAGGATGTGTTTCAATACGGACAAGTGCAGGGTGCTGCACTTGGGTAGTAGGAACCAGCAGCACACTTATACGATGGGGAACTCCCTACTTGAGAGCACGGAGGCGGAAAGGGATCTTGGTGTCATTATTGACTCCAAGATGAACATGGGCCGACAATGCGAGGTCATGGTTGGCAGGGCTAACCGGACCTTGTCGTGCATCCACAGGTGCATCTCGAGTAGAGCCAGGGAGGTGATCCTCCCCCTCTATGCGACGCTGGTCAGGCCGCAGCTGGAGTATTGTGTCCAGTTCTGTGCGCCCCATTTCAGGAGGGATGTGGACAACATGGAGAGGGTCCAGAGGAGGGCCACCCGCATGATCCGGGGACAACAGGGCAGACCCTACAGTGAGAGACTGCGGGACTTGAACCTATTCAGCCTCCACAAGAGAAGGCTGAGGGGGGACCTGGTGACCGTCTATAAACTCACTAGGGGGAACCAGAAGGGTTTGGGGGAGATGCTGTTTCCCCTAGCCCCCGCTGGCATAACAAGGAGTAATGGGCACAAGTTGATGGAGAGGAGGTACAGATTGGACATCCGAAAAAACTACTTCACAGTTAGGGCGGCTAGGAGCTGGAACCAACTTCCAAGGGAGGTGGTGCTGGCCCCTACCCTGGGGATCTTTAAGAAGAGGCTGGATGCCTACCTGGCTGGACTCATTTGAGTCCCGTTTTTGTTTTTAGGGTTTTTTGTTGTTGTTCTCCTGCCCTGGCGGGGGGTCGGGCTAGAAGATCTATTAGGTCCCTTCCGACCCTAAAACTATGAAACTATGAAACTATGAAGCCTTCATGAGCATCTGGACGAAGCCTCCAATGCTTCTTCGAAAGGGATGTCCACCCCTGAGTGCATTATTTCTCTGGAGTTAATATTGCAAGTTTCTAGCTAGAGTTTAAAAAAAAGACGAGTCTTCAGGGCTGTGAAATGGGCACAACACAACTAGCAGCAGCCAACAGACAGCAGCACGGCAGGAGGAAGGCTGGCTGGAGTAGTGGGACCAGGAAACACCATTGAAAAGGTACGAGAGGTGTTAACACCATGAAGAGATGAGCAGGAATTGGGTACATTGTGATGAGCCCTGAAGTCAATGGATTCCCTCATTTCTGCCTGGATAGAAGTGCCCCTGTCACTGCCGGGTGGTTGGCTCTAAACTTTGGAAGGATCAAGTGCACCAATGTTGCCCCCGTGGATCTGCCCTCGACCCCGTGTCATCTGGGGGCTCTTACCTTCTCTCAGGGCCCGGCTGAGATCATCTGCATGTTTCCTCTTGTTTATAGCATTCAGCACGTCCACCGCGATCTCCACCCCGTAGCGTGTCCCAAAGTGGTCTGTCATCTCCTCCACCACCTCCAGGCGCTCTGCCTCCTCCAGAATCATCCAGGGGATGTGGTTGTAGCCTGGCTTGAGTCTGTAGTGCTTCAGTTTGTACTTGAACTTCTTCCAGTCCTCCTTCCCAAGGCCTTCCACGGCCTCCAGCAGATGGTCCTCCAGGGTCTTCTCCATCCTGGTTTTTCACCCAGTCCCCGAACAGTCAGCCGGGGCAGCATCCACAGAGTCGGGAGCCTGCTCCTCTTGCTGGATGAGACAGAAATGGTGTCTTTGAGAGCTCCTTTTCCATTCACAGCCCCCTTCCTTGGCTATAGCTCCATCCCAGGGCTGGAGAGCGCCATCCAGCACCACCCTACCCAGCTCGTCCTACTCTCCTCAATAGAGGGGCCGACAGTCTGCACTGAAAACTGCTCAGCTCCACTCCTGTTACCAGGAATCCCTCCAGTCTTAAGTTGGACTCTGCCCGCAGTTTCCCCGTCCTCAGGACACACCCCAGAGCGACTGAAAGCTGGTGCATTAACCCCACGGAGCAGCTCCCAGGTCCTAACTTCTTGCCTTTCTACCTCCCCCTGCCGCCAGCAGCTGATATCTCGGAGAGCTTTCCTCACTGAACGTACAGCGCGGCGCACTTTGGCCGCAGCACACTGCAGAGGCGGAAGGACAGTGCTTGTGGGCAAAAGAGACCCTGCCCAGCCAGAAGAATCAGACCAGACACACCCATTTGAGGCTGCTGACACAGCTCATCTCCAAGCGGTTACGTCAAAAATACAGGGATAGACGGCAGAGGGAAGCTGTTGGGTCTCCCTCCTGTCTCCTGCTTGACGAATCACACCATTAACTGCTGAACTGGACCATAAATTAAGACTGGCCACACGTGCAAAATAATTGCCATGCCATGAGCTGGTGTCTAGCTCAAGACACGGAGACTGGCCAGATGTTCTGAGTCATAAAAATGGCCGTCCAGCCACAAAGCGAGTCCTTGAAGCCCAGCCATTCCAAGTCAGAAAAATGGCCGTGCAGCTACAAAGTGAGTCCTCAAAACCCAGCTCTGACCCAGTTCACTCTCCCCTTTCAGTATCCATTCTCAGCCCCTATGTGACGCAGGAGACTGGGCAAGACGGGCCTGTGGTCTGACGTGGAAAAATGGTGATTCTTCCTTTCTTAAATTCATGCATTTGGTGATTCTTTGGCCCAACGTGGTCCCTAGCCTGGGATGCCAAGAGGGGTGGGGGAAGGACTGGCCTGAGCTGACCTCAAAAAACACACTGGCTCCAAAACAATGCTGTGAAGGTCATTGAAGGCGCTAGCTATCTCTGTCGTGCAGCGCTGCATGGGAGACGGTAGGCAGGGCAGCAACGATGGTCTCTGGGAGGTCAATGAATGCAGACTCAGGAGGCCTCGAGCCGCTCCCCGGCCTCGCTACAGACTTCCCGCGTGACCTTGAGCGCATCACCTAACTTAGGCGGCGTCGCTTCCCCATGCATACCTGTGTCGACCCCCGTGTCGTCTGGTACGGCCGGTCCAGCATCGTCAGACGGCGTCTCGAACTGTTCCATGGAAAGAGGGAAAAAAAGAGCAGTCAGGCCAGGTCTCGTTTGACCCGCTCTCCTCAGGATTTGTCTTGCTTACTCCTGCTGCGCTCGCTAGCCCCCCTGAAAATGCTTGGTAGCAATACCGCTGCCTTTGCTGCCCACCCTCCGTTCCCTACCAGAAGAGCTCTGCCAGCTCCTCTCTGCACCTTTCTGTGCGTGTCCAGGGTGGCAGGGCTGGCAGCGCCGGGGTCAGGAAGTATTGCTCCACCCCCGCAA